ACAGTACAACATGCAAGCTTACCTTTAGAGTTGTGCTGCTTGTTTGCAAATGAAAACCAAATCCTGGACTGCCTCACAATTCTTCAAAGCTCAAATATCTTTTAGTGTATTTGCATGATCATTTTCCATTCATAAAGAATGGTTAAGCCCTCTTAACTGAAACACATATCACTCTTATCTACAGTACTCACCCCAATCCTCAAAATGAATGTCAGTCCCATACAGAAAACCTTCAAGGATCTGCACAGGTTATCAACAGTTTACTTGTAGTCTCCCTGTTGATATTCCCCACCCCTGCCCCACCAAATTCCAGTATGTGGGGCTACAGAGAGCACACAGGCTGTGATTTGAAGATTCAGTTGGCAATCACAAGTTGAGACGTGTCTTGCACAGTGGATTCCAATATCAGAATTTAAGTAAAAACATACATTGTAATACTTGGAATTGTCAAAATCCTAGTGTAACATAATGCATGAGTACACAGGGGATTTTCATTTGTTACTGTGGATTAAGTTGTGGAGTGTTTCCCCAAACTCAATCTGAAACAGCACAGTATAATTGGCTCCAATTTTAACTTTATTAGTAATGTTTTGGAACTAAAACTAATTTGGTAATGTATATTGCTACCTTGGCAGACACTCTAGTGCTCTGTTAACTATCCCATGCATCTTAGAAAAAATAAAAATAAAGAATAATAATAAAAAAAAAAATCACTTATTTTTCTATAGATATTTACTCATTTAAATTACAGACCTAGATTGTTACATACAAAGAGGAGAATACAGAGATGACTGTCCTCTTTACTGCTCTTCTCTCCTTGTGCTAAAGATAGCGTAGAGAGTAAAAATAAATAAATCCTCAATAGCATTAGGAATTAGACAATGTCATGTTGAAAGACAGCCTAAATGACAAGCCTTATCTCTTCTTGGTGGCTGGGACAGCAGGGGGGCTCTGACCCATGGAGGGGAGGTAGCCTTTAAGCCTTCACTAGGTGGTCTCTTTGCAGTAGGCTCTATTCCCAGCTGTAATTGCTTGTCAGCCCTAACTGGATGCCTGAACACTCTGGAATAGTTCAGCAAAGTATTTAAACAGATGGATGGTACAGGCCACTGGAACAAAACTCATTTTTTCTCTGGCCTCGGCTCTCTTTCAGCACATTCCTTTGAAGTCTGTGCCACTGAGGAATCAACAACAGCTGAGTAACATGTGTTATCATACAACACTGAGTGCAGCAACAACACTGCACAGCAAGACACTTTTGTTCAATAATCCTGGACTATAGAAAGCATTACAATGTCTTTTGTTGTGGGTAAGATCTTTTTCCAAGCACAACAAGAAAGTAAACAGATTCCTCCCCTCTTTAAGTAGTAACTCTAAAGTAAAAAGGTGAATTAAATGGATTTCTCAAGTGCCTCCTGTCTGAAAGCTTACATTGCCTATCTCCTCAAGTCCTCTGAGGTACATTCAGCGCTCTCCGCACTTACGTTATCTCACAGATAATTAGATGCTTACAGAGAGGGGTCCAGTCTGCAGTTCCCATGGCAGATACAACAAGCCCATGTGAGCTACAGCTTAAACCCACCTTCCTTTTCCAAGCAGCACAAGTTCCCCGGTCTCAACTTCACAGGTAACTAACTGGAGAGAGAAGCAGCACAGCACTGCTCGGCACACACTGACCAGTCTTGCCCTCCCCATAGTTTATCAGTACAAAGACGACAGAGCCCTCAGAACAGTAACAGGAGAAAACAAACATCCTCTCATCAGACAGGAAAACTATTCTTGTCAAAGCTGTAAGATCACCACACACTTTGAAGTGGGTTAGGAAGGACAGAAAGAATTAGTTATTTATGAAACTGAATTTGAAACTAGACTAACCGTCCAGATTCAGAAGCACAGAGCTAGCTATGTGCATATGCAAGAGGACAGTAAGATATAACCCAAAACTGACACTGCTGCCTAATAGCAGGTTCCCACAGAATCAAGGCTCTCATTTTCAGTGAAGAGAGAGAACTACCTCCAACTGGGTACAGCCTTGCAGTTACAAAGCTTACATGTCTAACATGTTCCAGGAAGGCAGGCACTGAGATTATAAAAGTCCCATTACACTGTAAAATCCCAACCCCTGCATGAAAAAAAAAATTACAGGAAAGCCTGAACTTTCAAAAAAGCTCTAAAAAAAAAAAAAACCCACACATCATTTACATTTAATTTCAAGATAGAAATCTTACAGACTTAAAAACACAGACAAAAAACTTAAATTAGAAAGCAAACAAAACCCCCATGTACTAAGCCAATCTCATAATTACAGACCTCACAAAAAAAACAAAATAGCAGGTACTGCATGCATCACGATATGGGGGTCCTCAGCCCAGAGGACAGTTTTCCACCCTGCAATTCAATTTAACAGTTTCTTTCTGGGGAGGCCGCAGTGCCCTTCAAATTCAGCTTGAGGCAGACTGTTAAGGTACCATGGAAGAAGCATGCACCGACTTTGTCAGAGATACACAGGGGATAAAAATAACTCTAGTGTCAAAACCATTACTGCAATGCAAAAATCTTACGCTCCTATCAAAATAAATGGTGGTGATCAAGAGTTCTACTCCACAACTTTCAAAGAATGAATATTTGCACAAGCAGAACTACTACCCAACCAGCATTCAAACCCACAACTAAACAAGGAGCAATACGATTACACACAATCATTCTTAAAATTGCGTGTAAAAGCACTTAACAGAGATCCATGAAAATCTCCATATCCTGTGAGGTGCAGGCATAAGGCAGTTTAGGCAGAGGTCATACTGCCATGCGATGGCAGACACAGGAACAGAACCCACCATCCTCAGTGCTCAACTCCGCACTTTCAGCGGCGAACCTCCTTATTTCTAACATGTTCATTTGCAGGGCTTTCCTCAAAAGGATTTGAAAAAGTGATGCTAATCACCTTCATTTGGCTCTTCGGAATTATCGGTGGCATTTCCAGAAACAGTTCCAGGTAATTTTAAAAGACTTCCTGATAATCTGACTTATTTTTCTCCTTTTATTTCCCTCTATCCCAAAGTTGTTAATTTCTATAAAGATTAAAAAAAAAAAATAAAAAAATAAAATCATACACCTGACCAAATCCTGTTGGGCTTCTGGGAGTGGGGAAGGAGAAGGCCAGGGAGATCACTTAAGTGTAAGAAGCAAACCACTGCTAACTCTATCAGTTGTCCTAAATGGCATACAACTGATCATTGTAACACCCAGCAGTCATTTCAGTTCCCTCAGCAACTCATCACATGTCAAATAAGTTTTTGCTGTAAAATACTGAGAAGTACTTCTAGTTCAGTATCAAGCCTACTTTCTAATTAGATACCATCAAACAGAAGTCAATCAGAAATGGTATTTTCTCTTTAAAGAAAGAAAGGGGAAAAAATAAAAAGTAGGGCTTACTTTATTTTCTGCTTAGCCACATAAACTTGGGTCTTCTGGAATGCTATCTCTCAAAAGAGGTAATGTAACACAACCTAGACCCACACTGGTTCCTTCTGACCCTAGGAGCTGACATTTTAGTCATGAACTGCATATTCTTTATAGAAAAAGACACAGCTCCTCTACAACACTTAACACAATCACACCACTACCAAACACAATTAACTGGGAGCTGGAAAACCCTTAAACAGGTGTCTTTGCAGAAGTCATTAGGCAATTGATTTACTTGCTCTCTACAGCCCAGCACACAATTTTAACGCGTGATGCTGGCTAAACCCCAGGCAGAAGCTTACGAGGTCCAAAACAGACTTTCATAAACCACACGACAGCACTTTTTGACACGGATGTAAACAGTTTCCGGCGATTCAGATAATGTGTCAACCTCTGATACATCTGCAGCTATGGGCTGGAAAGCGTGACAGGTGTCATTTTAAAGGGGACACTGAAATCTATAGCCTTCCCTTCCTCCTGATCATCCACACTGATGAAACCCATGAGCAGTAATGAACTGGGATTTAGCACACCATTCTGTTAGCATCTTAAAACACCGCTTTGCTGAAGAGAAAACAGGCTGGCACACACCGGACTGCTACAACCCCAAACCAGACCCTGGATCAGCCCTTCCACGGAGAAGAATCCATTTTCTTACCCTTTAAAGTTCACGCCACTGTAACGTCCCATCATACTGTATTTACTGTACTTAAGCTTTTCTCATCAATACTCTCTTATCCCATCCAGCACCCACCCCCACTTCCCCCCCGAAATCTCTTACTGTCTGCTGGCAAAACAGATTTTCTTTTAATCTTTTTCCTTACTAGGGGAGGAAAAAGAGAGGGAGGGGCTGGGGAAGGAATACATGAGATTAACTGGGGGGAGGAGGAGAGACCAAAACAGTCCACTTCGAAAGGGTAAGGGGGACAAAAAAAAAGGAAAAATAAATAAAATGGGTTTAATTTTCCTTTCGGGGGTAGTAAGAGAGAGGAGGAAAAAAACCCGAAACTACTACAAAGATTTCCCAGTGTCAGAAAAGCCGCCTCTGAACTCCCCTCCTCAAGGACACACAGGAATTACCCTTACTTTTCCACACGATGCGCGAAGGAGAAAGACAAAATGCCAGGAGAGAGGAAAAGCCGGAGGAAGTCAGGGAAGTAGCGAAGGAACAGGCGAAAGGACAGGAATAAGTGCGATCGGGCAGGGGAGACGCGTAAGGGGAACGGGAGAGGTGAGAATGCCCCCCAAAATCCTTAAAATCGTAAATCCGAGGGGAGTGAGGAACGGGCAACAAAGATGGGAAAGTTGGGAGAGGGGAGACGGGGGCAGCAGGGGGAGGCGGCAGCGAAGGGTCACAAACCCCGCAGCGGGGACGAGCCGAAAGACGCCAGGGAGGAGCGGGGCAGCAGCAGCCGGGTGGGCTGCGGGAGAGGGAGGGACGGAGCGGGGCAGCGGCAGCCGAAGAGGGGGAAAGGGGAAGGGGGAAGAGGTCGGGCTCCGGCGGGACGAGCCCGCGGCGGACTTGGCCGCGCACTTACCGCTCCGCCGGCGGCGGCTCCACGGGCAGCGCCAACGGCCCCAACGGCCGCCGGCTCCGCCTCGCGCCCCGCGGGGGGCGGCGCGCACACGGCCCGCGACGCAGCGCCCCGGGGCTCGGCTCAGCGCTGCTCAGCTCTGCCCTCCGCGGCGCCCCGCTGCTGCTGCTGCTGCTGCTGCTGCTGCTCCTCCCCCGGCCCCACCGAGCCACCGCCGCCTCTCGCCCGACTGCGAGTGGGTGTCCTCCACCCGAAGCAGCCACCCCCGCCTCCTTCCTGCCTCTCAGTCGCTCCCCTTCACCGGGAGAGACATGTAACGGAACTGGGGCGCCAGCACGGCATTGTGGGAGCTCTTAAAGCCGCAGCCTCCCCATGCCCCCCACCGCTAGCGCCGCCGCTGATCCCCGCCGCCGGCTCGGGCGAGGGTGCGTGTGCCCCTGCCAGCGGGGCGGGCAGGCAGTGGCGCTGGCGCTGGCACTGGCAGCAGTGAGGCGGGCAGCGGCGGCAGCAGCAGCAGCAGCCTCTTAAAGAAGAGGCGCTACAGCCTTGCCTAAAAATATTCCCTCGGCGGGGTCCCCGGGACGGGCCGAGGAGGAGCGTGAGGGCAGCGGGTGCTGTTGTCGCTGCCGGTGGGAGCTCAAGGCGGACCCTGGGGCCGCCCGCACCCGCTGGGGCTGGGCAAGGAGCCCGCATCCCGGGCGGGAGCTGGAGGAGAGCTCCGCTCCCAAAGGAAGACAACAGTGAGACCCCCGGCTGTGACATAGGCATAGTTAAGGGGTTTTTTAGTTGTTTTCCCTGAAAATTTTCTGTTGTTTCTGGAAAAAGTAGGAATGCCTTTGGTGCTTATTTAAACTGAATTGTGCAAAGCCGGCAGTCAAGTGTTTTTTCTATTGTTCCTGCTTTGGATTTTGGTGATGGAAAATTCCCCGAGGGGACGGGGTGGGGGGGGGGGAGGGAAGAGAAATAAACCTCAGAGCAGCAAAGACTCTTAAGCAGACGGCTATTTTGGGCAGAAAGTTTTAAATAAGAAGTTTTAATCAGCTTTGTCGTCATGAAACTTGGAATAGGAAAAATAACCGTTAAAAAAAAAACAACTAACCAACCTATTTGAAAATGAACTTCAGAGCTGTGATTCACAGGCATTTTTCACTGTTGCAAACATCTGTGCTGGGGCTACCCTCAGCTGCCAGCAGCAGCCGTCACTCATAGCTCCTCCCTGAGCTGGTAGCCTTTCCCAGTCTGCCGGTGTTCCATGTCCGGAGATCAGGAAATGCTGGTCATTTAAAGAAGAGTCTCATCAAGAGAACTTTATTTTGTTGTTTGTGTCCTCCTCATTTTTAACAATATTCCTCTACCGTTCCTCCTGTGGACTTTTGAGTTTGGTACGCTTTCCTTGGGGTTTTAAGTCCTGAGCCTTTAGATGAGAGCAGGACTCTGCCTCTGTGTGACTCTCTATAGATGCTACATGAAGAATATTTTCAAGAGCATACGGACGCTTCAATTGAAATGCAAGCATATAAATATTCACAGATTGGGGTTTGGGGATGTTTCTGCAAGTATTTCTAGTAGGTCTGGATCTTGATTTATGATCCATGCCTTTATACAATTGAGGATATTTTCCATAAGCACACCTGGGGAGGTGTAAAGTTCCTGCTGAAGAAATCTTCTGGATTTAGAAGGATGCCTCTTCCAGTTCTGACCTGTATCTGCTGTGCCTTTTTATGTTTGTGGGTTTTTTTAGACAGGAAGCGATGCTGAGCAATCTGTGAGAATGACCTTAAGCACAGCATGAAACTAGGTATGATTAGGAAGAAATGACAATTAGGTGAATCTGTTGTGGAGCACATGGTTTACAGTCAGCTACCTGCATACACACTTTCACTTTAAGAGACTTTTAAAAACCCAACACTGAAGGGATATCTGGGATAAAGGAATGGTGCCAATGACCAGTTCTGCAGCAACCTACTGGCCGAGATTTGTTTGCACTGAGTATTTTTTTACAATGACTTTCAAGAGTGTCAGCAGACAAAAGCAGGAAAAAAGGGCGTGCTTTCCAGGTATATTGTATGTTGCAAATAGTTAATCAAATATTCCTGTAAAGATCCTGAGCAGCACTGTGCTGCAAATACCACTGCTTCCTCTTCTTTTCATGAAGCTTGTAAACACCACAGGAGCTATAAAACTCATTGAAGATCTTTTCTCAAAATCCAGGCTTCTCAGGGATTCACGTGAAATGAGCGATCTGGGATACTATTGAAACTATGTGCCCAGGGAAATTATTGTTAGAAGGTGAACCTTTTTCAAGGAGTTAATGGTTTACTGAAAACAGGTACTTGATAAGTCATTGAGTCTGAAATGTTTACCTCTCCAGGTGTTCAGCAGAACTGGAGGCCAGAAGATCAACCACCACATTTTCTATTGAAAGCTAGCTAGCCTGCCAATTAGTTTCTCAAACCCAAGGAATACAATTGCTATACAATTTCGGCTTTGAAAGTTTACATTAGTGAATGAAAATCACCCTTTAAATTAATGGTCATGATTAAAGAGATTTCTGGATGTTCAGAACATGCATAACAAGGCCTAAAATGTTTATGCAACATATTGGAGTGATATTTTCTTGTTGGCTGTGACAGAGCTTTTGTACTTTCGCACTTCTAATATTCTAGCATTGCCTGTTTCCTTTTTCACTTTTCCGTTTTAGTTATGAAGGCACTGAAGACAACACATTTCTGCTGCTTCAAAATACTGAATGTGAAATTCTCAGAGTAATTTTTGCACAGGATGATAAGCCAGTATGTCCAGAGAGGGCATCAAATAAATTTTCAAGAGCAGTTTTTCACATAAAAATTGAACTCTTCGAGAACATGAGGTGGTGGCAAAAAGAGAAGATCAAATCTGTTGCTGGGGTTGCAGAAATATGGAGAATTTGACCAAGGCTATCTCCAACAGGGAAGATGATAATGGTCATTTAAGAAAAAAAGGAGGGAAATTATGCTCAAATCCAGCCATAAAATAGGACTAAAGTTGTACAGATACCTGCCTTCTGTAGCATAGCAGCCTGTTTGCTCTTTGACCCGTACTGAAAGAACAAGATGCCTTGTTGCCCCAGAAAATTGGTTAGGAAGATATTATGGAGTGATGCTAAATTGTGCCTGCAAAGGATACATCTTGTGCTGTTGTAGGATGCCTCTGCTGTGACAGTTCCTTGCTCTCTGTGCCCACTCCAATCACTTCCTAATTTAGTTACATTATATGTAATCCTAAGTGTTTCATTAGCCTTCAGTCAATTCTTCCTTCACGCATTCAGTAGGGCGTTTAAGCACAGCCTTGCACTTATGTGGAATCTTGAAGATATAGCCAGAGATGTTTTAAGATCTGTATCACTGTTGGATGTTTTGGGAGGGAAATTTCCCATAAAGATCCTGCTTCATTTTTGCCAAAGAGGTAGTTAAAGTATCCTAGGGATAGACACCCTTTTGATGCGAGCACAGAGCACTGCACAGGGAATTCCTTACACCACACAGCCACACACACACAGAGTCTTACACATATGTTCTTAATGAGGACAAAAATGAGAGAATAGGCCCGCATGCCTTTTGGTTGTGTAAATTTTCCAAGAATTATGCCTTTTTGACCAAAACCAGGAAGAGAATATTTCTGGGGTTCCTTAATTTCCTCCTCTCCTTGATCTGTCTTCAGCTACTGCTGCCCTTTTCACTGTCATTTCACCTTGAGAAATCCAGTGTCTCGGTGGGCTCTTTAAATTTAATCCAGACTATAAAATCAGGCTCACCGAGAACAGAAGCAGCTCTGTGTGACCAGTTTCAAGTTATCAACACAGCTTTCAGTATCATGTATTTGCAGTGAACTCTTCATGGCTGGAATAAAACAACTTTGTCTCTGCAAACGCTTACTTGAGAAAAAATAAAGTGGGTCTGGATTTAGCAAATTATCTAGCTGTGTACATATATTTAAGCATGTGAATAGTCTCAATTGGGCTGCTTGCATGATAAAAATTATGCATGTGCTTAAGTACTTTGTTGAATTTGGTCCATAACAAATAAATCTGAACTGGTACTTAACAAGCAGAAAAACAATCTGATTTGGATTGGGGTTAATGTATGTCCCGCAGTGTATTTGCTTAACTGTAAAATGAACATTTCAAGAGGCTTTTTTTTTCTGGAAAAAAAAAAAGAAAGAGAGCTGGTGTCTGAAATTCAGGGAAGCAAACAAACATCAGATTAGAATTTAAGCGTATTCTACAAGCTCTTTCTTCCTGGTTTTGTGGAGCCTGAAGAACAATAATTCCTGGTTGGTTCTCCCCTGGGTTTTCTAGATCTTGCCTTGTTATTTGCTGTTAATTGGGTCTGAGTGACATGCTGTGTTAGATATACAGAAGAATGCAATCTGTGTCTTAAAATGGTTGAAATCCAAAAGACTTGTATTCCAAGATGCGAAATATGTTTGATTTTCATTTTACACAGCAGACTCTGGATGCTTCCAGAGACTTGCGTGTTTCAAGACACAGTTCCATGGAAGAAATCCAAATTATCTCAAACAAACAAAAAATCTCAGTCAAATTCCTCCCCTTCTTCCTGACCTGGCCACATATGTTAACTCACATTAATTGGGGAGCTAGCCTTGAATAAGTAAAAGGGGCAATCCCATACTCATATTTATTTTTGTTGTCAGTTGCAGCAGTAATACCCAGTAACTCTTCCAGTTTATGGTTCCACCCTAAGCACAGTGTGCGTATATTCAGGGATAGTTACAGTTCTGGCAGGCAAGATATTCATTACTCCTGAATGTCGATCTTCTGCTTAATGAACAGGAATGGGAATCAGGTAAGCCTGGTTCTGTTAATCAATAAATGTCTCTTCTCTGTTTTTCCTTGATTAGTAGAAAGTCGTCTCCTTTCTTCAGAGAGAGCTCAGTTCACAGGAATATGCTGAAGTCTAGGGGCGGGGGGGATGTGGTTTCAGAGCAATGAAACATTACTAGAGGATCTCACCCCTGTGCATTGGCCATGAGATTATAATATCCAGATGACTGCCTGTGAACCAGGTTTTAAAGTTTTCACTGGATGTTTAA